CCCCCCCCCCCAGTACTCTAGTAAACACACAGAGTAGGTCATACAAACTGGGGGGCATTCGTGTTTCTTGAGGGGGCCTCAGTTGAAATCGTAATCGGCAAGCTAAGGCAGCACAGGGACCAAAGTGACCGGGCGCTCATGGCGCAGACACTGCACACACACATATTTAGCTTATATTTTACTGTAAGCAGTCAGAGAGGGAATGAAGTGGAATGGCAAAATGATTACAACTATACATCAACATCACTATAAAAAGTGCATCTTGTAGAATTATGGAAATACTAATTTAGCTGTTACATCTGACTGCTTGAGCTCCAATCCAGAAAATATATGCATTTTCCAGAACTCAACAGCATCACAGATATGTTTAACTTACAATTTTAGTGTCTCGGTCATGTCATACCCGTAGTTTAATTGTAAATAGAAAAGAGAGTCTCATGGCAGCAGTCCAGAACGATCAGCTTTACACCCTCGTAAATAAGAGTTTGATGGGCATTTCATTTAGTAAATGAATGGATCACAGTGTGTACATTTTAAGCTGATACATATGCATGCTTTAATAATAAACCTGAAAGGATCAGTAAGGGCAGATGGGCCTTATGTTGAATGTGTGATTTGTGTGTGTGTGTGTGTGCGTGCGTGCGTGTGTGTGTGTGTGCGTGTGTGTGCGTGTGTGTTTGCACGTGCTTGTGTATGTTTAAGTATGTAACCTGCTATGCATGTTTATGAACATGCATAATGCAGATGAATCATGCATCTTGTTGCAATTTTATGAAGACTTGATTTGCATTTTACTCCAAAAGACTTTATGGATAAACACACACATAAAAACACACACACATTCTCTCATCTTCCCACACAAACAGACAGGGATGGAAAGAGGGAGGGAGGGAAAGCAATATGTGTGCTCCGTCACAGGTCACTGTGTCACTCAAGGTATTGTCAGGAAAAGTGTTTATGCTCCATACTTCATACATGTTGTCATTTAAAAACAACCATCCATGCTTTATTGTATCCCATTATACTGTATGTTTCACATTTAGAATGTTTCCTCCTCTTACTTCTTCATTTGTCCAATGCCTTGCTATTGCAGAACTGTGTAGAAACATGTCGCACTTAATAACAGACAAATGAAAGTGACAAGTGCCGCTATTGTTCACAATGGCCAGCCTGCCAAGACAGGCTTCAAATTGTTTTCAACACTAAGCCCATCAGGGGTTCTTCTCAAGTTACTGCAAACACTGAGTAAGGAACATTGAACCTTAGAAACTAAAACAAACATTTTTATTCATCAGAGGCTGTTTGGCCCAGACTTTTACTATTTTACCAGTCTATCCTTTTATTTCCTTCTGAAAAAGAACTACAATACACTTTAGCACAATTTTATAAAAGAGTACTTATTAGGGACATAATATACCTTATATTATATATATTATATACCTTAAGAATATACTTAAGTGTAAACTGAATGTAATGTGTTCGGCCACACAATAGCATGTTATTTACAATTAAATTGATTTTTTATTATTATTGTTTAAATGTATATTAAATGCAATTAGTTGATTTTAGAAGAGCTTTTTGACACTTAATTAGGGCTTAAGTAGATTACTTGTATTGTATTGTACTTGTACTTGTAATTACTTGTATTAAGTATAATTACTTGTATTGTCTTTTGCAATTTAGTACATTTTAAATATATTAGATTACAATTTAATATAAAAACACTACAGTTGAAATTATAATCACATACTTGACATGTGCTTTAGTATGTTGCTCAACGCATCAAAATAAGTAGTTTTTTAGGGATGACAAAAGAATATTAAAACACAATGATTTAAAATGTACTTAAAAGTGGAACTTTTCATTTGACAGTGTTTTAAAAGTGTACTTCAGTGTTTTAAGAAATATAAGGTACACTTAAGTGGCCTTTTATTTAATTATTATTATATTATCTGCAAGTACAGCTTTTTAAAAAATATTTAATGATTTGTAGTTCGCTACATTTACATTCAAAACAATTAAGCTAACTTTTTTTCACAAGGGTCTGTATCTTCACACAAACACACACAGTGACAAAAACCTTTAAATCAGATAACTGGAGATAAATATAACCCTAAATATGACTGTATTGAGCTGCTAGCTTTGTTTATTTACAGTGCTATAAACAGCAGCGTGTTTTGCACAAATGATGGTGGGAGTTATAATTATAACAGTATACTCAATGAATTCTAGCAGGTCTCACATGACATACATTCCTGCTTCTTTCAAGCTTATCATTTGCTTATTGAGGGTGACAGTGTGAAAATCAGCAACATTATAAGTTACTGGGCCAGTGACTCTTAGCCCACAACTGAGCTGTTGAATCAAGTTATTCGCGGGCAAAGGACAGAAGCAGTAAGTACTGTATTTTGATTTCATTGTAAAATCAGTGGATTGTTGCCCTGATTGACCCATTTACAGATCTGCATAATTGACCTTTCCACCGAATAAGGAGGCGATCTAGAGAGCCGAGTCAGCAAAAACTCTGTTTGCTCTGAGCATGTGAGGAAGGAAAGGTCTTCAATTCCTCAGGGACTTTTTTCAAGGCCATTCACGCAAGACCGTTGATAAGACGATAATCAAGGGTTAATTAGATGAGACTGCACATATTAAGGTTTACTTTAATGATCTGTAGAAAACAGTACAGGCAAGTTTTATATATTACACACACATATTAGGCTTATATAATATAAAATACACATCATTTAGTTTACATACATTTTATTATATACATATTAAGAACTCCACCTAGTTTCTCTTTTCAGTGTGAAAGTTATTTCTTTCCTCTGTCAGATGATAATTTTTTTTCGGGAGGTGTGTGATCTTAACGCACAGCTACAGTTCAGTTCATCTGAGAGAGTATAAGCATCTCTCCGTCTACGTACATAGCCAGTCACTGACGTACTCAATCCTCAGCAGACCTGCATTGTAGCGTCATCACTGATACCCACCAAAAACTAGAGCAGAACTGATGCTCTGCTGTTTCATGTTCCACATGAACATACTGACACAGTTTCGCTGGCATTCTTCTATGCTGGGTTTAAATGCTTCATTTATGTTATATAAATACACCATGGGATGAGATAGGCTACACTCCGATACCCTCCTACTAGTGAGCGACGCCGCCGACGCGTCAAACTAACTACAACGCTCGCACTATAGTCTAACTTTGTCTTGCGCACGAAGTGTTTGCAGTTCATTCATTATATCGGGAGGGTCTTGTTTTGTCGCGTCGCTCGCTTGCAGTGTAGGTGGGTGTTGTTCATACTTTGTGAAGGCTTTTTTTTTTTTTTTTTTACAGTCTTACAGTTAAATGATTTGCCTTGAACCGAATGCGTCAATATAGCGAGGTCAATAGTGAACATAATTAAGTAATATAGGAATAGGCTATAAAGTCACGCGCATTGCATATGAATTTTATGATGCGTCAGAGCAGGGAGGATGCTTACTGACGTGATCTGGGTTAATCGTTCAATAACAAAATGTACAAAATAAAACTTACAGTAGCCTATTAGCTATAATAAGAATAAAAAGGCACAGGCTAGTTTATGTTAGATTTGGAAATGGCTTTAAAATGTAAAAAATAAAAATAAATGGCAGGAACTTTGCTATTCAAATTTCATTAGAAAAACACACATAAAAACATTTGCAGATAATTTAACAGTATAAAGCTACATAGCAAATTTCATTTTACCTTATTGAACTTAACAATATTGATGTATTGCGACATTCTATGATAGATGTACGAGCTGAAACGCATTTGATAGCTTATCAGAGGTTTGACTTTACAAACGAAATGAACACAAAACGATGTAATTAAGGAACAAATTACAAAATGCAGGAAAACTTGCGCCACTAGTCAGTAGCCTACTTACTGGTTGTTTTAACCACCCCAGCTGTTCCCTAAAACGACCCCAAAATATTTAAATCATGGACTATTCACAGTCATTTTATTCCGTATTTTAGCCAAATGTAATACCGTAAAACTGAGCGGCTATCCGAGCAGCACGCACAGTGGGTTGCGATCCTCTGACAATCCTCTGGTGCCTGTTCCAGTGGGGGCGGAGCGGCGAATAGGAGTAGAAAGTGATTGGTTCGCTCTACTGTCAATCAAACATTTCCACCAATGAACCCAATGAGCTGTTAAAGGGGCGGGTTCATAGGTACGCCTCCCCCCGAAGGTTGCACCGCCTACTGTGTGTGCGTATTTTTTTTTTCTTTCTATTTTTTTTTTTTGTAACCAAAGCTTGGATGTGTAGGACGTCACATGTTGTTTTTCCTCTTCACTCCAGTCACTTAGCGATATGTGTTATTTACTGTTAAACCGCTCCTCGCAGCGAACGCGCACTCCGAGCCGGGTTCATAAGAGAGTCTGACAGGATTATAACTGACTGACAGCACAAGTTACGGAAAAGTGAGAGTTTTTCTTCACAGCATATGAGAATGGCGAGTCCGCCGCCAACGGGAGGACAGCTGATTTCAAATATGACCGTGAATTACAACAACCACGTTAAGAAATGCGGCTATCTGAGGAAACAGAAGCACGGACACAAGCGCTTTTTCGTGCTCAGGGAGCCGAGCGAGGGCTGTCGCGCCCGGCTGGAGTATTACGAGAGCGAGAAGAAATGGAAAAACAAGTCGGCTGCTAAACGGGTTATACCTTTGGACTCGTGCCTGAACATCAACAAGAGAGCCGATGCCAAACACAAACACCTGATCGCCCTTTACACCAAGGACGAGTATTTTGCCGTGGCTACCGAAAACGAGCAGGAACAGGAGGACTGGTACTCGGTCTTAACGGATTTAATGAACGAGGGGAAAGTGAGCGACGGCTCCGCGTCTAATTCGGCGTCATCCCTCGTCGGCTTTGATGAGGCGAACTACGGCGTGATAACGCCCGTCTCCGCCACTTACAAGGAGGTTTGGCAGGTCAATTTAAAATCTAAAGGACTCGGACAGAGCAGGAACTTAACGGGCGTTTACAGGCTGTGTTTAACCAGCCGGACGATCAGCTTCGTGAAACTCAACACGGAGGCGGCGTCGGTGATTTTACAGCTGATGAACATCCGCCGATGCGGACACTCGGACAGCTTCTTCTTCATCGAGGTGGGCCGGTCCGCGTCGATCGGACCTGGCGAGTTGTGGATGCAGGCGGATGACTCGGTGGTGGCGCAAAACATTCACGAGACTATTTTGGAGGCGATGAAAGCCATGAAAGAGATGTCAGAGTTCCGCCCGCGCAGCAAAAGCCAGTCCTCAGGTACTAACCCAATCTCTGTGCCCACCAGGCGGCACTTTAACAACCTCCCGCCGAGTCAGACCGGGCTGCAGCGGCGCTCGCGCACCGACAGCATGGCAGCGACGTCTCCCGTGACGAAACTGACATCCTGTAGGATCCGCACGGCCAGCGAGGGTGACGGCACCACAGGCAGCCCCATCAGCCCAGGCGTGAACAGGACGCATTTGAGCCGCTCCAACACAGTGACAGCTCGCCCATGCAGAACATTCGAGTCGTCATCCCTGCAGCATAGCAAATCCATGTGCATGCCTGTGTCTCACACCCCTCCCTCAGCTCCCAGCCCTGTCAGCCTGTCCTGCAGCAGTAACATGGAAAGCGGCCCTCGCCCCTCCAGCTGCACCGCTTCCATTTCGGGCTCCCCCAGCGATGCTGGCTTTATCTCCTGCGATGAGTGTGGCTCCAGCCCGGGTGATATACGGTACCTTTTAGCAATAAACCGAAGCAACACACCTGAGTCACTTGCTGACACACCCCCCTCACAGGAGGACAGCAACCTGCACGGATACATGATTATGGAGAGGCCAAACATTTGTGGACGGCGAAGCGTCCGGGCAGCAGCTGAGGAAGGCAAAGGAGATTTGGAGAATGCCTACAGGAAGAGGACACACTCTCTCACCATGCCTTACCAGAAGAGGGTGCCATCACAAGTGTCCTCAGCTTCACTGGATGAATACACGCTCATGAGAGCCACTTATACAACTGGAGGCCATTCGGGGCGCAGCTCTCACACTGCATCCCCAAAGGTCACATATCCTGAGGATTACGGGGACATTGAAATCGGATGGTTACTGAAAAGTTCCAGCAGTAATCTGGGCGACGATGGCTACATGCCAATGACACCAGGTGTGGCTCCGCAAGGGGGGAAGGCTGACAACTACATGCCTATGAGCCCAATGTGCGTTTCTGCTCCGAAGCAGATAATCAACCCCAGGATGCACCCCCTCGCTATAGCTAATGGTTACAGAACCAATTCCCCCAGCAGCTGTTCTCTGGATGACAGTGGCTACATAAGGATTCTGTGCGGCTCTAAGTTCTCCATTGACAGCTCAGATGGGAAACTGATGAATGGTGAGTACCTCAACATGTCCCCTGTAGATTCGGTCACGCCACCAGACTACTACCTGAGCCCTGTGGGTATGGAGCAATCTCCCTGTCTCCGACAGCTTCATTCGTTTAACTCTCTGCCCCGCTGTCATAAGCCCCAGCAGGCTCTAAAGGATGCGGACAATGATCAGTATGTTGTCATGAATCCTCAAAATCACAGAATAATAGAGGAGTCAGTAAGCACAGCATCCTCCCCTGCCCCATCACCTATAAGACAAAGCCGCACAGACAGCCTCATCCTCCGGCACAGGATCAGCCGGCCCACCCGCCTCTCCCTGGACATGTTCCGAACATTACCTAGTATGAATGAGCATCCCCTCCCCCCTGAGCCAAAAAGTCCTGGTGAGTACATAAACATAGACTTTGGACATGTTGCTGAAAGTTGCACTCCACCCTCCACTGCTTCCTCCGAGAGCCTAGTCTCATCCCTCGGATCATCCGCTGATCACAGGACATCCCCCCTCTCTGATTACATGAACATTAATGTGAGTTTGCAGTCACCCAAATCTGGAAATGCTGCTCCATCTAATCGTTTGGAGCCACTTCCAGAGCTCACACCCTGCCCCGCCCACCCTGAGGAAGAGCAGGAAGATGAAAGGTACCACCTCACTGCACAGGTGGCACCAGTGGGCCCGGTTGACAAAGCTAAAGACGATTACACGGAGATGACATTCGGCGTGCCCGCTTCCCCTCCGCAGCCTGTCTCGCAGCCCTCAGAAGGTGGGCAGACCATCAACCCATCCTTCTGCATGCAGAGGCTGACCATGGAAGAGACTGTGGGAGTGCCTGCCGTTGAGGCTTTTCTGCTGCGTGGCACCACTCTGGCCTTGGTGGACCCTGACCGAGGTGCCAAGGTGATTCGTGCCGACCCCCAGGGACGCAGGCGGCACAGTTCAGAGACATTCTCCTCAACCACCACTGTAACACCAGTTTTTCCCTCCTTTGCACATGACACCAGGCGGCACGGTTCGGCCTCCGTGGAGAACGTGTCTGTTTCTGTGAGGAACAGCGAAGGATCGGATGAAGAGTATAACAGTCCCATGTGCAGGGAGACGTCGGCTGGCTTTCAGAATGGACTTAACTACATTGCCTTAAACTTGATGGATGGAGGACTTGCCAGCTGTGATTCTGTTGTCCGGTTCAAAGCTACCAGCTGCTGTAAAGAGGGCATCAATGGAATACACGCCAGTCCGTATGCCAGCCTTGGGTTCAAGGAGACGGCAACAACAGTAAAAGGTAAGCTTTCTGAATAAAAAAAAAGAGATAAGTGATGATGTGCTAGCTCACTACCTTCATTAGCTAATGTTTAGTGTCATTCCTTTCACACTGTTTTCAAATGTTATGCTCTGAATTATTCAGAATGATGATTTAGCTGTGTTAATGTGTCAATATGACATGACAGTTTATTTTTTGCTAAAATAACAACAGCACATTACTTGTGCACCAGATGAATGTGGCACATGGCAGATTTCTCTCTAATGTGAGAGAGCTAATTGAGCAACTTGAGTGTCAGAATGATGGAAAAGCCTCTTTAAAAGCTGTGGCGCAGTTTTTTATTCTCAGAGACTGATCGCTTCATCCGTTCCCGCAGAGTGTTTAGGATGAAAACAGGTCAGTTAAAGGTTTTATTCCTCTGCACTGGAGCTGCTTATTTTTTGAAATGTTCATTTTGTTGACAATAGTGTGAGGATGAGGGATCTGTGGGATGCGGTCAGATTTAGAGGATGTAAATGTAAAAGAGAGAGAGAGCTCATATTCGCATGTCAATAATCCAGCAAAAGAGGAATCATTCCCAATATTTGCATCATACCTTGACTCATTCTCTGAATCAGAATTAGTCATTGTGTCATACTTGAGTGAACAGTAGCTCAGATACAAACAAGTGAGTCAGTTGTTTATCAGTTTTCAGGTAGAGGGTTTCAGGGCTGGAATGCAGAACATGTGCAAAGGTCGTTCTGAGAGGTTAACGTCGACTTGTTTTTCCAACCTGCCAGGTTTCTTTTAAGGAATGACCCAGCTTTCGGTTTTTCAGCAGGACATGAAAAACAAAGTTGTTTGTGTAGCTCAGATAAACGTGCGCTGATAAACACAGATATAGACTCACGTGGACGTTACACACTGAAACAAGTAGTAAGATAGAAGGTGTTTTTCTTGTCAAGCGTGACTTTGCATAAGTGGGATTGCATGGAGGATGTATATAAGTGTAAAAAACGAGTACTCTACACTTTGCTGAGACCCTTGCACTGACAAAAATCAAGGTGAAAGATTACACTCGAAGGACAGAGCGACTTTTCTGATGAATGACACTTCACAAAAGAGTCTAGAAGCAGAAGCCTCTTAAAACAGCGCATGCACCATACAAGGCAAACAGACGACATCAGAAGCTCAATTATGATCTCTAGGGTGTGTTTGAGAGTGTTTGTGTTGGCGGAGCAGGTGTTTCTGCAGTTCTCTGTTTACCTCCACAAGTGGACGGAGCAGAAAGACATAGCCGCAGGCCACGGAAGCCCTAGAACAGTGGGAGGAGATCACAAAGAAAACTCGCACAAACATCGACACACACTCGCTAGCGCTCAGCCATCCTGCCCTGTGATTGGTCACCGACAACATTCCACCAAAACAAAAGATGAGCCACAGAGACAGAACAGAGCTCTTATTTCCATAGAATGGCCTGATAGTCTTCCTGATAGGAACTTGCACCAGTACGGGATCCATTGAACATGACAGCATGGATAGGCTGCGCTCTGTTTACTACGCCAGCGTCTGTAATGCCACATTCCACTCCTTCCCTCCTCCCATCACTTTTACACACTGATTTGAATAGTACATTTGTGAATGGGAAGCAGACGCATACTTTGACAAACACAACTACATATTTACATAGTGTGCAGGATGTTTGACTCAGGTTTATGACGACGCTTCATCTTGTTAGGACTGATTGGTTTTTGTCACACTCTGTTGTATTTATTTCAGTGTTTTTTATGTCTGCATCCTCACTGAGTCGTTGGATGTTAAAATACTCCGGCAGTGTGTTGTAAATCAGACTGGTCACCCCTGACCTGGCTTTGCATATAGAGGGCTATAGAGATCAGTATTGGGAGCACTGTGGGCATTGAAGCTTTTAGCTATCTTTTATTTCCTTAGATTGGATTCTTTTCATTTTTGTGTTTATAATAACACTAGAGAAGAGAGTAAACAATGTCTTATTAAAAATGTACCATTAGGACATCCCAAGAACTCATCTCAGAGAGCTGAATGTGTCTGTGAGGGGCTTCCTAAGAAGCTTTCCCCTGAGAATAGTGTGTGTTAGGGGCCATGCCAGCAGATGGTGGGGGCCAGGGTCGTGCACCTGTCATTCCAAGCAGTGCATAGTGGTTATCGGTCCCATCAGAGCCCTGACAATACTCTAATGATTAGCGACCATCTGCTGCCCCACACAACAGCTCAAAGAGACATACAGGGAGATACAGTCAGATAACCAGTAAAAACAGTTGGCACAAGCTTGAAATAAAAGTGAAATCTCTCTTTTGTTGCAGACACACTGAGTCCCGCCCCTTTCTGCTTTGATAGCCTTGATTTAATTGAAAAGTACAGCAGTGAAAGAGAGGTTGTGTCTATCAATTTACTTGCTTTTCTTTCTAGAGAACAGGCTCAGGCGACCATCCCCCATCAAAACACACACCTATTCCTTTGAATCCTAGTCCATAATCATACTATCTTTCTCTCTTCTTTCTGTTTAATATCTCCTCTGATTATTTTCATATTTGAGGGATTATTTTAATTTCTTCCGTTCTCCGTCTATCTCCAATCATCACTCTGAATCTGCCTCCCTATCCCCTCTCTCCCTCTTCATGTCCTCCTTCACCTCTTAGTCCTGTTAATGTTGTTGCTGACTCTGTAAGTACCTGCTATTGTTGCAGATTTTATAGTGTTAAACTCTTCCAAGATGTTCTGTTAAATGTTCTCACTGCTCCCTACTTTTAGCAGAACAGATAAAGCGGATTACATGCTGCCACAGATTAGACATTGTTGAGCAGCTTTATTTGGTGACCAAGTAAATGGCATACACACACACACCTCACCTCACAATCAATAGAATAGCCTAAAGAAAATTTCAATTTTTTTTTAGGATTTAAAAAAAAAAAAGTATAATGCGAAAAAATAACATGCTATCACCGAAATATTTGTAGTACTGTCATTTTATTATAATATTAAAAGACTGCAATACAGTAATAATAATCACAACTAAAAAAAAGAATAATTTATAATGTTTTTGTGAGATTACTCACAAGGAATAACTTCATCTTGAACACCTTCTATTTTTCTTGGGATAGTATGCATCTGTAGAAAAGAGAAAAGTACTTTCTGTACCTCTGTCCTTGACTTGCAAATTCTCAGATCCAATCTGGACATACCTACTACATTCATTTTCATTTTTCATCATTTTTGTGTATGCATGTAAACTATATAGCATTTAACATAACACTTTATGTTAGCATCCTGTACATTTAAAATCCCCTTTATACAGTGGTGTGAAAAAGTTTTTGCCCCCGTCCTGTTTTTTTAATTGTTTGCATATTTGTCACACTTAAAAGATTCAGATCATCAAACAAAAACAGGAAGGGGGCAAAAACCTTTTCACGGCACTGTATGTGTGTGTTTAGCATGTGGCAATGAGTGGGATGTTGACTGGAATATATGATCTGAAATCTGCATAGGATGCTCTTTAAGAGCATGTGCCGTGTGTGGGAATAATTGCATGGCATGTGGCCTGATTCTGAATGAATGCTTCTTTTCTCCCCTGCTGAGCTAAGTGATCGGAGTGTGTGTGTGGCAGGGGGAGCAGAATATATAGTGATGCTTTACTGACATCAAATGAATTTAAATGGCTCCTTGGGCATTATCTTTGCCAGCTTTTTGGGTTTGTTTAAAAGGGAACAAGTGTGGGATCTGCTGAGCTCACACACCCTTATGCACACACTTTCTTATTCATGGACTGGCGTCTATTTCCATTCGACCGCTGAGCTCCGTTGGCTTAGTTGGCTGTAGTGTTATGAGATTAGGCTGTGACATTTACACATGAAGATCATCACACCATGCATACAGTACAACCTTTTGCCTAGACATCTCTCTGCCTCTCTTCCCATAGCTGATGATGTCCAGACTGTTTATGTCACTGTAAAGTTACAGATTACAATTTGATATTGATATTTAAATTGTAACACTAGGTTGTTTTGAAGCTATGGCCTAGCAGTTGGTGCTCATAGCTCCTATCCGTTGAGCTAATTTGGGCAATGTGGATTTCCTGAGGATTTTTGTCTCTTCTTTCTCCATATAGGGAACTATAAAGTGGCAAAAGGGCTAAAATAAAAATGAAAACAAATCAAAACTCGTACAGAAGTCCACATACTTTGTAATGTTTTGTAACAGAGAGAATTTGAGAGAGTCAATCCCTTCAATTTTAATTTTGTGTGTCCATGGAAGTCACTACCTCAAACTCTCACTGAAAATGAATGACTTCCAGTTGCTTTGTTGCTACAAATTGCTGACAGTGTGAACATGATTCCTAATGGGAGTAAAACTGGAAGATCCTACTGAGTGAAGATGAACAGAGACATTATTTCTACCCCAAGGGTTAAAACTGATACCCCCCCCATCTATGATATATGAGACTGGCATAGATAAATAAATTAGTAACGCTAGCACATGTTTACAGTACAGCCAGTCACTCAACTGCTTTTCTCACTACAGTAAATACGCCTTGTGTGTGAGAACAGTTGTGTGTTTTATGTGTGTGAGAATGGCAGACTGTTCCCGGCCTGGCTGCAGGTGGCTAAATTTAACCTGTGTGAAATAAATAAAAAATGAGTTGCAGGACAAATGTGTGTGTAGAGAGGGGATAGTTTTTGGGGATGGGGGCAGCGGGTTCACAGGCTGTTGACTTGAACCAGTGGGGTCCGGATTACAGCTGCTTTAAATACCTGCGCTGATTTCTCACACAGACACAGGAAAGTTTAAATGTCGTAAATGTGTTTAGGAAGCGATATGTTGCACTCAGCTATGTAGATCTGAAGACGTTTATAGTTTGAGAGATGACTCTGAGAGACAAAACAAGAGGGAGAGAGATGGGGAGGGAATTTGAGGTCAGAGGGTCCAACAAGACCTCCTACTTCTGGGCTCCATCTGCTCTTACTGATATTTGAATTTGAGCATATTTACATTTAGCTTTAATATTG